TGTCACGGCAAATCACCTTTATCTCTGATACTAATGTGACTGTACGAAACCACAATCTGCGTGATGAGAATATTTTTTCGATGATGATTTTGAAGATGTGGAATCACTAAGGAACATTATTGGAATCAGATTGGAGAGGGACCCCGTGGAACCTCAAAAATTGCACAAAGCGTTTGTTATAGAGGTGGATGTGAGCAGTGGATTTCTGCATTAGGTGCATCTTATGGATGGTTGAAAATGGATGAAAGGTAACAACTGTATTTCCATCGTGGAGTGGGTTCAGAAGCAAGGTGTAATATAAGCGTATAAGGGCGAATAAGAGCGGTTATAATGTTCGGTAATGTATGGATGAGCTGAATAAAAGTGATTCTGGTTAATGACAGAATGAGACGAATGAAGAATTTATGAAAATGGAGCTGAAAGACAAAATTTGACTCATCAATTGATGAGTTTGAAAATGAAGTCAGATTTTTGGTGTCTTCTTCATGAATATGGACATCTGCATGTGTAATTCTGTAGCCTTCCATGTGCTGCCACTGTGCAAGGATGTGAGGAGGAACGTTTAGAGAAGAAAAACTACATGCACTAGTTCCAGTAGAATTGGACCCAGAGTGTTGGATCCTACATGGATGTATTGCAGGGAGGCATCCATGGATAAGAAAGAAGTCAGTAGGTTGAAGAGTAACAGAGAACTCGAGCAGCAGAATCGACCTTGAGCATAAAGGTGCAGTGAAAACCCTGATCACAGATAGAAGGCGCAATTGAGCTGAGCCAATATTTTTCGATTTTGGAGAAACGCAATGCAGAGCTTTTAAAAAAGGATAATGTTTTGCTTGTTTGGAAAGGTAGAAAAACCTGCAGAAAGAGAGGTTTTGCACCAGAAGAAGAGAAGAGGGATGATAGGCTAATCAAACGCTGGATGAGGAGGTAATCAATGATATTCGGTTTGATGTAGGTGGTAAACACGTACATATGTATTCAGGGCAGGGTGCGAAATAATAGATAATTTGACTGCAATTTTCTGTAAATTCTTCGATGCGAAATGTAGGTCAGTGTGCAGTCAGCTAGCTATTGTCATGGCGCGATTTATAAATGGAGAAAGGGTGCATGAAATAAAGAATAGTCCAGTCTTTCAGTCTAAAAGGCATTCAAGTCCGACAGTCAGTTAGTCTTACTTCGATTCATTCATCCATCCATTGCATTCATCCATCTATCCATTAAGCCACGTAAATAAGACTGATGTTCACCCATATCAGTCAGACCAACAACCTTTCATGTCAGTCAGTATAACATCAGCATTTTTCGACTCTATAATATATCTTACCTCTTTGGTAACCTAACGACAAGCAGCTACCTATATTAAAGGCAATGGCACCTAACTGAGCCGGTATTCCATACAGTTTTGATGATGGACCATGAGGCAAAATTCTTCGGGAACAAGAACTGAGTTGGAGGAGGCGACTGTTTAGCCTAAATCGAGACCGCATCCTTCGCTTTGTCGGCACTAGACAAACTGTAGCAAACAAGGATTATAACTGTCCATTTCTTTTTTCCTCTTCCTACAGCTAACCTGGTGTCAATTGTGATCCTGTCTGGAGGGAAGTGCGGTCTCTCCAAGTGAATCACCCGCTATCTGGTGGCCATGTCAGTGTCTGATCTGATGCTGATTTTCACCGAAGTGGTATTGACTCGCATTATTTCGCATTATTTTCCCATTAGTTTTCTGTCCATTACTCCTGTCTGTGGACTCCTTTCCTTCCTGTTTGCGACAATACGGGCAACTTCTGTCTGGTTTACTGTGTCCTTTACTTTTGATCGATATGTTGCTATTTGTCGCCAACAATTGAAAACCAAATATTGCACCGAAAAAACTGCTTGTGGTGTTATAGCCGTATTCAGTATGTTTATAATTGGGCAAAAAATTCCCTGGTATTTTGTGTTCACATCAGTGCAAATAGTTAAAAATACACCACGGGGCTGTGCATTTAAAATAGAATTTTTCACTTCTTCCGCATGGATAGCTTTTGACCTGCTCGACATAATTTTAATCCCAATTATACCATTCGTTCTGATTTTTCTGCTGAACCCCCTGACGGTCAGCCACATACTGGTGGCCAGTCGAGCCCGCAGTAGATTGTGGGGATACAGCACTAGGTACAGGAATAGAGGAGCGAGTGACAGAGATCCGGAGATAAAGAACAGAAGGAAATCCATCGTTTTACTATTTGCTGTTTCCGCCAGTTTTACATTATTGTGGGTGACACAAGTATCGGTTATCTAATATTGGAGGATTTAGAAAAAAGATCACCACATAGACTCCAATGATCTTTTGCACATTTTGTATGAAACTGGCGCCATGCTGCAGCTGTTGAATTCCTGTACAAACACGTGTATATATGCAGTTACTCAGACTAAATTCAGAGAGCAGCTGAAAACCGTGTTTACATTTCCATTTCTAATAATCGTTAGATAATTTCGTTAACAACGTGTCCATCGATGCCGATTACCTGCTGCCTGAATAAAATAAATCAGTAAATCCCTAAAATGTCTGTCCACACTCACAAATCATTTTTAAAGTCAATTTAGAACTCATTCCAGGCTATCGTACGCATTTCCAGGACACGGATAAAGACAGACTAAATCTTATTCTACACTCTCTGTCCGCTCTTCCATGTTGGGATTACAATCAGAATAGAGCTCTGCACTGTGCATCCAAATTCCCAAGTCAGCTTAAGAGAGAGAATATGGCTCACCATACATTCCGGTTCCCCAATCCCAGGTCACTGATGCAGACGCAACAAAGCTTCATCTTCACTGTGCGCCCGCACTCACATTTCAACAACAACAACAACAAGATTCCATTTATAAAGCGCCTTTCACGTCAGGAGGACGTCCCAAGGCGCTGCACAGTTGGGTCATGACCCGAGCAGGGGGGAAATGGTCAGGTTGAGGGGAGGGAAGGGAGGGAGCGAGGAGGGGGAAGAGAGTCGAGAGGGGAGCTGAAGGCACGGTCAAAGAGAAAGGTTTTGAGAACGGCCTTGGAGGAGGAAAGGGAGGAAGCGGCGAAGGCACTGGGGGATGGAGTTCCAGAGCCTCGGGGCTGAGAGGCTGAAGGCCCGACCACCGATGGTAGGGAGGTTGGGGCGGGGGACGTGGAGCAGATCGGAGCCAGAGGAACGGAGGGTACGGGCAGGTAGGTAGGGGGATAGTAGGTTGGAGAGGTAGGAGGGAGCAAGGCCGTGAATGGCCTTGTACGTGAGGATGAAAATCTTGAAATCAATTCTCTGGGGGATAGGGAGCCAGTGGAGGTGAGCGAGGGTGGGAGTGATGTGGTCCCGAAGCCTGGTGCGGGACAGTACACGAGCTGCAGAGTTCTGAATGACCTGCAGCTTGTGGAGGGAGGTGGCGGGAACGCCGGCGAGGAGAGAGTTCCCGTAGTCCAGCGTTGAGGTGACAAAGGCGTGAACCAGGGTTTCAGCAGCGTGAGGGGTGAGGTAATGCCGTAGTCTGGCGATGTTCCGGAGGTGATGGAAGGCGGTGCCAGTTGTGGTGCGGATGTGAGGGAGAAAGGACAGCTCAGGGTCGAATCTAATTGTGATTGATAAAGAGATCAGAGATTGAATTGGGACGTAAGAGACTCTGTACACATGTAATTTTTTGTTGTTGGTGGTGTCGCATTGTGAGCTGAACTTTATCTATGTTTGACTTCATTAGGCAGAAGCTGCTGGCAACAGAAGGTATGAAATGATCTTTACCAAATATCCCAGAATTGAACCGACAAACCAACCACAAGGTGCAGTTTCACTTTACAGTGTGATGATGTCTTATTTCAGGGTCAGTGACGAGGGGTTTCATCTGTCAGTGTGTGAGGCTGAGCTGCCGGTGGCCAAGTACAAATGGCCTATGAAGAACACAGTCTGGAGACAGATTATAGACAACATCAGCCCAGGTAAATGTCTCCCATTTTCACTCTGATGCCGTGTCAATAGCCTGACATTCACCTGGATTTCAAAACGTAATTCCTCTTCCTTTACAGGCACCCCCCACCCCCACCCCCCCACCCCACACACACACAAAAACACACCCATCAGACACACGAACCTCACAAACACACACCCTCAGACACGCATACCGTAACACACACACACAGTTCTCGCACACAACTCACACACGCACAACCTCTGACACACACACTCTCACACACACCCTCACACAAACACCACACACACACAACTGTTTCACAGACCTCACACACATCTCAAATATACACGCTTCACACACACAGTCCTCAAACACCCCACTCACACACACCGCTCTGACACACCTCACATACAAGCACACTCACACACACATCCTACACAACCCGTGGAGTCCTTGAGCTCAGTGATTGAAACATTCAACTTGCAAGCGAGACACTTGGGTTCAATGCGGTGTAGGGCGAAACATTGGGCAAATTTCCTTACTGCACACAACTCATATTTATCCCTCCAAAACAAAAAAAATTTAACGTTGGTCATTTTCGATCCACGACTGTTTGTGAGACACAGATGTGCGCAATTGGCTGCCACGTTTCGCCCACAAATATACAGTCAATTCACTTTACAGTCTATTCTGTGAAGCGCTTTGAGACATCGAGAAGACGTGAAAAGCGCTATATCAAATGCAAGGATTATTATTATTTTTAAGACATGAAAAGAGCAATGTCAAATGCAAGCATTATTATTGCCTCTCTCACAAACATGCACCGCTCACACATACACACCTCACAAGGACAACCCTCATATACACAGCACTCACACATACTCCCATCACACAGGAGGAGAGAGGAGATGTCTGTGGAGATGGAGCAGGAGGGGATGAAGTGGAGTTTGAAGTGGCCGAGGATAACGAGGGGATGGCAGCAGAGGCAGAGCAGGCGAGGAGGGTTCAGATGACTGAGATGAAGGTGGGGGAGTGTTTTCGGGGCAGTAAATTAGGATTTTTAGAGAGAGGTGGGAAGGATGGCAGAGGGTAAGGTGTTGGAAAGAGGGTAATGAGCCGTTGGAATAGGTGGTCATGTCCAGTGATGCCCTGAAGCTAAGGGCCACCCCAACACCATGACGGTTGGGGCGGGGGGCATGGAGTTAGGTGTAGCGGTTGGTGTGGCCTCAGTTATGGGGAAGGTTTCACCCGAGGTGAGCCAGTTTTCAGTGAGGGTCATAATGTCAATGCTCTTATCCCTCGCACACACCCACACACACTTATCCTCAAGCACGCTCAAATAACCTCTCACAAATCCTCACAACCTCCCCCCCACACACCGCACACACAACCCCTCACACAAACACTCACACACTTCCTCACACATAACCCACACACAATCCCACACACGGACCCTCACACACATCCTCAAACACACCCTCATACACCCGCTCAATCACAACATCACACACTCGTACTAAAAACCCCTCCCATACATCCACTCTCACACCCCCTCAAACAGATCATCACATACACTCTCACACACACGCTGAAAAACTTGCCCTCACACATGCACCTTCACACGCATCCCTCACAAACACACACTCACAGATACCCACTCACAAGCAACCTCACAAACAGCCTCACACAGACTCTCACACACACTCCTCACACACATCCCTCACACAACGTAACAACCCTTCACACACAACCAAAATCACACACAATAATCACACACCCCTCACACACCGACTCACCCGCCCGTCAAACAGACTGTGACAGCCTGAGATGGATTGTATCCTCAGGTGTAGATGTGTTGAAACACAGTCTGAGCTCTGACGTCCCTTCACTCCACTTTCTGTTGTTTCTCTCTCTCAGCTCCGGCCTCTCTGACGCTGGATCCTGACACAGCGAATCCCTACCTCATCCTGTCTGAGGAGCTGACCAGCGTGAGGACCGGAGACACATGGCAGCAGCTCTCTGACTCCCCGAAGAGGTTTAGTAAATATCTCATTGTCCTGGGGTCTGAGGGTTTCACATCAGGGAGACATTATTGGGAGGTGCAGGTGGCCAACAGGACAGAGTGGGATGTGGGATTGGCCCGAGAGTCCGTCAACAGGAAAGGAAAGATCACGCTGTCACCAGAGGATGGATTCTGGGCTGTGTGTCTGAGAAACGGGGATGAATATGAAGCTTGTACCACACCGTGCACCACCATCCTGCCGCTGAGAGAGAGACCCGGGAAGCTGGGAGTTTACCTGGACTATAAGGGGGGAGAGTTGACATTTTACAACGTTGATAACATGTCTCATCTCCACACTTTCACCCAGACTTTCACTGAGAAACTTTATCCATACTTCTTTCCCGGTGTTGATGATGGCGGCAAAATCTGTGATCCTCTGAGGATCTGCCGGTTGACAGATTAATGAGGAGGAAACACTTAGCCATGACCTATCTTTGAGTGTGATGGCCACAAGGCTGAAACTTTTATAATCTGTGTCGTTTTACAATAAAGATTGTAGTTTATATGACAACTTTCACACTGGGACCGCGGCTCAATACTTTCTCGGAATCGACTATGAAGCGACGGTTGTGTTTGTGAGCGAATATAGAACTAATTTGCACAGAGAAAAGTCTAAAGTAAGTCATCTGTGACACAACGACCATCAGGCTGGAGATTTCAGCTCCTGATCTCGACAATAATAATCCCTATATTGCACACAGCTTCTCATCACTTCTGGCAGACGTCTCAAAGCCCATCCTAGGCTTCTAAATCTGCATTAATCCCAATGATACCCATGGGATTTATCATTGACTTTCTGTTTAAATAATAAAGCGCTCTCTGTGTACAACACGGGAAACGGTTTTAAAAGCCCCCATTTCCGCGTTGTTTCAAGTGCAATAGTTTAATAAACCCCAATGATTGCATTAATCACAATGATATAAATACGGTTTTGCATTAACTTTGGGTTTTTATTTTAATCCCACAGCCGGGGACAAACACGGGAAACGGGTGTAAATTCCCCCCAGATCCTCGGGGTTTAAAGTGCATCAGTGCAAAATATTCCTCTTTCTGCATTAATCCCAAATATATTAACATATTTGTGCATTAGCTTTCTGCCTCTCTCTCACACTCACTCACTCTTTCGCTGTCTTTCTCTCTCTCTCCGTCAATCAGCCGCTGGAGGCTTTGCTACAAACAAGAGTCAAACAGGGGCGGGGCTGGGTTGGGGGCGGGGCCGGAGCTGGGGGCGCGGCTGGGTTGGGGGCGGAGCCGGAGCTGGGGTCGGTCACGGGGCCAGAGCAGGATTTTGATCTGTTGACCATATTTGGAATTTAAAGCGAGGCCGTCCCTCACTTAAAGGGGACAGGAGGTTTTTTGGGGTTAAAGCCCTTTTTATAATAATGATAGTAATCCTTATATTTGACACAGAGTGTTATCACGTCTTCGGAACGACTCGAAGCGCATCACAGTATATACCGTAAACTGTCTCTGTAACAGGTCCTGTAGCTCAGTGATTAGAGCCCTCGCCGCGCAGTAATAATAATAATAATAATCCTTGCATTTGATATAGCGCTTTTCACGTCAGGAGGACGTCCCAAAGCGCTTCACAGAACACACTGTAAAGTGAATTGACTGTATATTTGTGGGCGAACGCGGCAGCCAATTGCGCACAGCAATGTCCCACAAACAGTCGTAGATTGAAAATGACCAATTTAATTATTGTTTTTGGTTTTTTTTTGGAGGGATTATTATTAGGCTCTGTGTGGAGTAAGGAAACTTGCCCGAGGTTTCGCCCTCTGCCTGGAATTGAACTCAGGTCTCTCACTTGCAAAGCGAGTGCTCTAACCACTGAGCTCCAGGACTCCACCCGCAAGCCAGAGACAGGGGGTCAATCCCCAATTGGGGGCAAAATCTTGTGCAAGTTTCCTCTCTGTGCACAGACACACACAGACACACACACAGATTGAGACATGCGCACACAAGCACACACAATGATACACCCCGATACACATACCGTCACAGACACTCATACAGAGACGCACAAACACACAGACGAACAGACAAACAGACACAGAGAGACATACAGACATACCCAGACACAAAGACACACACACACACATCCCGGGACATTCAGAAATCGCAATGTCCACCCGAGTGTCCATCACACAAGACTGGCTTGATTCCCACATTGGTTGCCAACCTCCAGATCAACTCGAGGGAGACCCTGTTCACCTCCCCTCAAGGAGTAGAAGGGATTTTTTTACTAAACACGCGATTTGAGGCGTCTTTAAGAAGTGAACAGCGCAAAATAGAATCACAAGAATATTACTGTTATTATTTTGCTGAGAATACTATGGGCAGTTACGAAGTCCAGCACCGCCCTCTGGTGGCAGTAAAGTGGTGCTGCAGGGTTTTGGGCGGGGCAAGAAAAGGATTTCACTCTGTAACAATATTAATAATAAAAATAATATAATACTTGCACTTGATCCAGTGCCTTATCACACCTTCTAGACATCTCAACGCGCTTTACAGAATATGCTGTTAAGATATTAGACTGTATATATGTGGATGAAACGCGGCAGCTAATTGCGCACAGCAGCGACCCACAAACTGTCATGGATTGAGTGATCAAATCATTATTGTTATTTTCTTGAGAGATTATTATCAGGCATATGTTCACACAATCGCTCCTAGTGTCTCTCCTGTATAAACACAGCCACTCCCAGTGTCTTTCCTGTATACACACAGGCTCTCCCACTGTCTCTCCTGTAGACACACAACCACTCCTAGTGTCTCTCCTGTATACACACAGCCACTCCTAGTGTCTCTCCTGTATGCACACAGCCAATCCTAGTGTCTCTCCTGTATACACACAGCCACTCCTAGTGTCTCTCCTGTATACACACAGCCACTCCTAGTGTCTCTCCTGTATACAAACAGGCTCTCCCATTTTCTCTCCTGTAGACACACAGGCTCTCCCAGTGCCTCTCCTGTATACACACAGCCATTCCTGGTGTCTCTCCTGTGTTCACACAGCCGCTCCCAGTGTCTCTCCTTTACACACAGTCTCTTCCAGTGTCTCCCTTTGTGTGGCCCAACCGCTCCCACTGTCTCTCCCGTATATACACAGCCTCTCCCAGTACCATATATGTACAGAAACAGATCTCCCAGTGTTTCTCTCGTATAAACAGCCTCTTCCAATATCTCCCACATACACGCAACGTCTCCCGGTGTCTCTCCTGTATACACACAGTATAAAAATGTAAATAATTTTGATATAATATACTATATAAATATAAGAATATAAAAGCAGTATATAAAACAACTGTATTCTTCTGAGAGACTCACATGCTTGAAGGAAAGCAAAATAATTCGGCAAAGTCTTTTGCAAACCTCATCAACCGTAAGTTGTAACTAACACATTGATTCAGCCTTAGACAGATATTAACTTGAAAATCTTTATTTTCCAATGGAATAAATGACGGATTTCGAATCAAACAAACTTATATTGTCAATAATTTCATTCCTATTTGCGCAATAAATTTATTCATAATTAGAATATGAATCATTATTAAAAAACTGCATCAAAAAACTAATAAAGAACTGCAGACAGTGTTCGGTATTCAAAGCGAGGCCGTCCTCCTCGTAAAGGGGAGAGGAGTTTGTTAGGGCAATTTAAAACCCTTCTAGTAATTATAATAATTATCCTTGTCTTTGACCCAGCGCCTTATCATGATTTGAGACACCTCAACGCGCTTCACAGGATAGTGTAGTGACTGAGTTTTTTGCAGTATTCAATGCAAAGTGTCCTTGTAGCTCAGGGGGTTAGACACACAGACAAATGCAGAGAGACACGCGCGCACACACACCCACACAGACAGAGACACACGCACGCACAGACACACGCAGAAACATACACACACCCACACACACAAACACAAATAGATGCACAGCTCGGGACAGGCAACGATGACAGTGTACACCCGAGTGACCACCACACAGGACAGGCTCCATTCCCACATTCGTTGCCAATCTCCAGATGAGTTCCAGGGAGACGCTGTTCACCTCCCCTCAAGGAGGAGAAGGGATTTGACTGAACAAGCGCTTTGCGGCGTCTGCAAGAATTGAACACCGCAACAACAAATGCCAGCATTATTATAACTATTATTGTTATTATTATTACGGAGAACTTTGTGGGCAGTTCATCAGTCCACCCCCACCCTCTGGTGGCAGTAAAGTGGTACTGCAAGTTTTTAATTTTTATTTGAGCCCAGAGTAAATTTCAGCAAATGATTATTTTCCTCAAATGCACAACAGCCACCAGGAGAGATGGAGAAGCAGTGAATCGCTGTCTGTGTCTGACCGCTCTCCAGCAATAGATGGTGATAACCAGACCCAGGTCTGAGCAACAAAATCAATGTCATGGGATTCAGTGGGAAACTGGTTATTGACATAAATACATGGAAAGGTATGAAAATGGATTCTTCAGTTATAAGCCAACACTGAGGAGAAGCTGCGAGTCCTGATCCACCGTGAAGGGGGAGAAACAAATGCAGTTTGTTTGCTGTTGTTGAAAAATAAGATTTTTTTCTCGTGTCCTTTGTTGTGGCTGTAATAACGGGTGCAGCCACTGGGCGATGGTGTTGCACTGCAAACCGCAGGGAGGACTTACAGTGCAGCACCGCCACCTGCTGGACAGGCGCCTGTTTTGTAGAACTTCAAGCCTTTCCTCTCTGCCTGGGTTAACTTCCACATGTATGCGGATGACGCCCAACTCTACCTTTCCTCCTCTACCCTCAACTCCACGACCACCGATGTCCTGACAGCCTGTCTGTCCGACATCGAGTCCTGGACGAGAGATAACTTTCTCCAGCTCAACGTACGAAAAACTGAGGCCCTCCTGATTGGCTCACGTCAGCGCCTCCACACCTAAGACGCTGACAGCATCAGTGTCCAAGGCTGCACTCTAAACCTCTCAAAGCCATCAGGAACCTCGGGGTTCTGTTCGATCCTGAGCTGTCCTTTCTCCCCCATATCCGCGCCACAGCTCTGCAGCTCGTGTACTGTCCCGCACCAGGCTTCGGGACCACATCACTCCCACCCTCGCTCGCCTCCACTGGCTCCCCATCCCCCAGGGGATCGAATTCAAGATCCTCACCCTCACCTACAAGGCCATTCACGGCCTCGCTCCCTCCTACCTCTTTGACCTACTATCCCCCTACCTACCCACCCGTACCCTCCGTTCCTCTGGCTCCGGTCTGCTCCACATCCCCCGCCCCAAGCGCCCTACTATCGGTGGCCGGGCCTTCAGCCTCTCAGCCCCAAGGCTCTGGAATTCCATCCCCCAGTGCCTTCGCCTTGCTTCCTCCCTTTCCTCCTGCAAGGCCGGTCTCAAGACCCTTCTTTTTGACCGCGCCTGCAGCTCCCCTCTCGACTATCTGCCCCCTCCTCGCTCCCTCCCTTCCCTCCCCTCGCACTGACCGTTTCTCCACTGCTCTGGTGCTGACAAAACTTTACTGCGCCTTGGGACGTGAAAGTCGCTCTATAAACGAAGTCTTGTTGTTGTTTTTGTAAATGGCTATTAAGCCATTCCCACACACCTTGTCTATGATCTACAACCGGATAGGAAATATATTGATTTTACATTGATGTATATGTCTGCATTTAATTTATATATCCCTGTCTTTCCTGATAATGATCTTTCCCTTTCTCAACCCATTCAGCTCTAACCCCCTGTTTGGTATTGCTGGCATGATAAGCGTTTTATCTTGAAATCTCAAATTGAAAGTCGGTAGGTTAGGCTAAATTAGTGTTGAAGGCGAAACAATGTTCTGTGAAGAATTGCAGAACATATCTTCCACAATTTTGTAACATACAGTAAAAAATGTAAATTGATATCATATCCTTCATTTTCTGAAGACGTCTTTATGCGCTCCGTTTGCTGCCAGGGCAGAGTTGTGTCGTGGTGATGTTCAACTGAAGAAAGTTAGATCTACAACGGGTTGTTCGACAGTTTAAAGCGAGATTCACTCTGGAATTCTGACTGAGAAAGGGGGATCACCTTTCAATGATGGGGTAAATTTCAAGATCCTCAAACTCCTTTCCAATTCATTACATGTCCTGAACGCCTTCCTACATTTGTAATCAATTTACCACCCAAAGCCAATCCCATCTTTGGCCACTTTTTTGAGTCACTTCGCCCGGAACCCTGCAACAAACTTCCTCTCTCCCCAAAACTTGGCCATTTTTTCCGCATCTTTTGGTCTCGTCTGAAGAGCTTCCTATTCGACAGTGCTTAAAGTCATCTTCCACTCCTCCTTACTCAGAGTTGTGCTGCACCACTGTCCGGCGGTATATAATGCTTCCCTGCGTGAGTTGCGTTGTTTAATTACAAAATGTTTTTCTTGTAGACAACATATCGGAGTGACAACAGTAACAGTCAAAGATTCGCCAGCACCCTACTTCTGCCACAAACAGATCTCAATTATAATATAATAAATAGTAATCCTTGCATTTGATATAGTGCTGTTCACGTCTTCTCGACGTCTCAAAGTGCTTCACAGATTAGACTGTAAAGCGAATTGCCTGTATACTTTTGGTCGAAACGAGGCAGCCAATTGCGCACATCAGCTTCCCACAAACTGTCGTGGATTGAAGATGACCAATTTATTGTTGTTTCTTTTCGGATGGATTTTTATGAGGCGCTTGGAGTAACTGAGCTTAGCCAAGGTTTCGCTTTGCCTGGAATTGTACCCAGGTGACTAGCTTGCGAGGCGAGTGCTCTAACCACTGAGCTATAGGACAACGCAGACAAGAAGATACTTACTACCCTCCAACATTACCAGGCTGCTTGAAATACCTCACATTGCGAACACTATGGTTCTTTCAGCTATTCTGGACTCACTGTATATCTCCATTCCGCAGTTGTTTTGTCTGATACCCTGGTTTAACTTATCGAAGCATGTCCCAAACACTATATCTTTCCCCTCGCCAGGGATCATCTTTCCCCAAATCACCCCATTTAGTTCTGACCTCCCGGTTGATCAATACCGTGAGGATTTGGCCTCCGAAATTGCAACACACGATATTAATATAAATTTGTAATCAACTTGAATCAATTGTCTTTCAAGAATTTGCGATACTATTGTGTCGTACTGTGAAAAATTTAATTGATGTGATAACCGTCAGCTTTTTTAAGACATCGTAGTACGTTCGTCTTGCTGCCTGAGCACCAGTGTGTCTCGCTGATGATCAAATGAAGAACTTTAGGGCTCATACCTGTCCCGTTGTGTGACAGTTCAGAAAAAGATTGAATCTTGGATTGTGACTGAGAATTGTGTATGAATATGAAGCTCTGACTTCAACTGGTACCCGCCTGAGAGAGACCTTGGTCCTGGGAGTCTACCTGGACACTAAGGGTGGACAGGTGGCATTCTGCACCATTGATATTATTTCTCATCCGTACGCTTTCAAGCACATTTGAACAGAGAATATTATCCTGAGTTCAGTCCCTGTTCAAATGATAGCGGGATCAACTCTGATCCGTGGCGAATGTTCCCGTTGACAGTTTAATGAGTAGGAAAACTATTATATATTAACGGTATTTGATTTTAATTCACATCTGTCTGCGATACGATCATGAGATCTTAAAAATATAGGAGTTTCCTACGGTACAGAAGACTTAAATCCATCTGGTTTGCCTTCCAGCATTCCTGCAGGCGTTTGGCATGACTTGTACCAAACTTTGGAATGCATCTTTTTGTGTGTGTGTGTGTATCTCTCTGCCTGTCTGTGCGGATATAACTGGAACAACACTCGGCTTGGAGAGCACTCTACAAGTTGAAGTTTTCCATGTTGTTGTTTGCGGCTGTGTTTGCGTTCTATGAGTAAACACGTGTGTATCTCTGCTTGCGTATGTGCCTGAGTATTTCATTCCCTCTTTACTTACCTGTTAATGTGTTTGTGAGTGTTTATCTGTCTGTGTTTGTGTGTTGCTGTGTGTTTGTCTGTGTGTCGCCGTTTTTCTTTTTGTGGGTAAATCTGTATACACATATTTGTTTGACAATATTCTGCACAATTATATGTATCAAAAATAGAAGTGAGTTTCTCCTGATGTCCTGGTTGACAACGGCATCAAACAAAATTGGACACAAATTTCTCTGCAATTTGACACCCATAAACATCTGCATAATACACTGTCTCGGTACTTTACAACAGCGGTGTCCAACTGGCGGCACGCGGGCCGCATGTGTCCCATTGGTGAATGTTTTTGGCTGGACACCATTTCCAACCTTCTACATTCCCCTCCCTTTCTATTGAACTTCCTCGTGTGGCAGCAGCAGGAGACGGCGGTTGGGAGGCCTCAGTGTGGAGAGTGGAATAATATCGGCCATTGCTGCAGTGGGTCAGGAAGGCGAGCATTTCTCTAATCAATCACATCCTTAGCCACCGCCAACTCCTCCATATGCAGATAGTGATTGCGCGGCTGATAACAGCAATACCACACTCCAAACTCCCATATTGCTGGGATCAACACACTTACAGACTCGAATTAAACTGCCAAACTTTAGAGTAACAAACGAATGCAATATCACACAGTTGCGTTGTTCAAATTATGTAATTTGTTTATTGGCTGATAAGGTAACTCAGCAAATAACGAAAGACAGAACGGAAACTGTGTACAATTCAGCTACTGGTACAAGTATTTTACCGGATGAAATTCCCGTGTTTATTTGCCACAAAATTTGCAATAATTCTCGAAGAGTCTGTCAATAAATAAAAATACCAACCTGAAGAGAACACTTGAATTTCTTTCCTTGAAAATTAACCGAAGACCGATACATGATTGAATTCTGATATGTTAGAAGCCACCTCGATCCCCTCCTCACCCAATAACCACACATGAACTACACATCTATGGCTCCCTCCCCATTGATCCACATCACTCGCTCTCTCTATCACTCTGTTACATTTCTAATATTCTTAGCATATAACTTTTGTCGTTTATTCAACTTGCATCATCAACACAAATTTGAATAATCTCCTCATTTATTTTTTATTGACGTTTGATCACGTGAATAGTTTATGTTTAAAACATTTTTCTGGTAGAGCTGCAACACGTAATTGCTGCTTGTTGACTTTGGGTGATAGTAGTTTCAAAGGAATCTGGAATAAAATAATAATAATAATAATATCAAAGAATCTGGAGGAACATTCACAGAGCAACAAGGATGCTTACAAAATCATGGAGCCCCATTCATCCGTTAACTGGAACCTACTTGACAGTATATCCGCGAAACCCTTTGAGATGGCGTAGTAGTGCTCTATGACGATTACAAGAATTATTTTTATTGCAGCGCACCGCTTGAAATAAAATCCAGGCTATCAGTTGCCTCATTAAATTATGATTCGTTGTCAACGTTTCAAAATTTACAGCGAGTTACACATATTTCCCTTTATTTAAATAGTTTAAATATCTGTTTAAATGGATAGATCGCTAGATATTTCACATCCTCTCTGAATTTAGATTGTGTTGAACCGTAAATGACGGTGTTTGTGCAGCAACTCAAACTTTAAGAATGTCTGTCACTTGTTGGACAACATACACTGGGTCTCTGTAACTTTGATAGAAATAATTGTTTAACGTTCGTGATAATACGAAATGTAAAACTTCCATTAGCCACAACAGGATGAAGCTGCCTGATATGGCGAAGAGTAAGATGATGGATCTTCTTCGGTTCTCCATCTCTGCATCATTGCCACTATTACCTTTCTGGTGCAGGAGGTTTCTGCGGATTCTGTTGGCCGCTAAAATGTGTCTGACTGTCACCACGTTCATCAGCAAAATCAGAAAGAATGGAACAAACGGGGTTATTATTGTGACAAACCAGTGAAATAGAATCCATGTCCGAGAGGTGTAGTAAACCGCTTTAAACTTGCAATACCAAGGCACTTTGTTCAGTGTCTCTCTGGGCTCAACCATGAAGTACCAGGGAATGCTGATGAAACAGCTCAGAGAAGATATCACCCTAAAACCACGGCTGCTGTTCTCTCGGTGCAATAATTTGTTTTCAGTTTCCGCCAACGTATAGCGACCAGGCGGTCAAAAGTGAAAGCCACTGTGAACCAGACTGACATGTGTGTCACCGCCGACATCAGCACCAATCTCATTGAACACACGGGAGTGATGTCCAGAAATGTGTGATTGAAATAAAGAGAATGTATCTGGTTCAAAACCACATCGTTGATGGCGAACAGGAGATCGGCCACTGCCATGGCCATCATGTAGAGGGTGATACAATTTGAGAGCCCACACTTTCCCCGGGACAGGACCACAATGGCCAACAGATTCGCTGTAAGAAAATGGAACAACAAACAAATATATTTACCTGTGCGCTGCGTAAGTTGATGGTACTTTGCCCGAAGTGCATTCACGCAGCAGTTTCCCATCAATACTCATGGATTGATGGATCCTTTCTTCAAAAAAAAGTTCAAGGCATTAATAAGTAATATTGACATGATCAAACACAGGTATGTCGACATCGATAACCACTGAGCTGAGATATTATTTTACCAATGAATTACAGACGAAGATAAACGGTAAGCTGTAAGAAGTTCTACCGAATTCCGTGTCTGTCGCCTGTTCTGTTGGACATGAAAGATCTCCTGTGACACTACCAGAAAATAGAGTGAATCATCTACAAATTTCCTGGCCATGTATACACCAAATAAAGTTTGTATCCTCAAATATGTATTGCGCTTCTCTGGTTACAATCATGTTACATTCTGACAGGATACTGTCAAGTATATCCATTGAATATAAGTTTGAATTTGTGGAACACATTTAGTATCAACATGTGCTCCTACAGTTGAGAACATAAATATGTAAATTCACCTCTACTAATTGAAGATGGCGTTTAAAATTCCACTGTATTAATGTGAAAATAATTTGCCTCACGCACAGCATAATTCGCCATAACGTCAAAATAAATGAAGGGCTCAATCGCGCTATTTATAGTCAGACACCGAAAATTTCGAGATTGTCCAATATTTTTCTCACTGGTCACCCCAACCCCCTCCATTCACAACATCCAACTCATTGAAAACAATTCCAAACATGTCCACTCTCACACAATCTCCGCACACTTTCACTCCAGTCCTCGCAGGATTCCCTGCCTCCTTTCCAGAAAACACATTAAAATAAAGATACTCAAAATATTTGCAAACCATTCCTGCCTGGCATACCTCTGTCTCTCAACCTACTGACAGAACTGGGTCGCTCATCCGATCAATCCTTCCTCACCACCAGACATTCTTACAGCCAATGTGTCCTGAAACTGGAGGCTCAATGTCTCCAACTCACACCTTTTGAGCGCCAGTCAGATCAGACCGAAAGATATTCTTTTAGGACTGTACCTACGGTCACCATTGTAACACACATAGTAACGAGCAGACCCTCAAAGAAGAAGAGACACACTATCAGTCTCACAGCGAGAGGGAGGGTTCAGCAAACGACAATATCTTATCTTTAAAGAGACATCAAAAAAGACATCAGCGGAAGAGAAGTCACAGCTGGAGAAGTAGCTGTGTGTGCCATGCGCAACCTTGTGGTACATCGGGATACAAGTAAAATTTGTATCTAACTAATTACCTGCAATACCAATAGCTGCAAGAATAGGATAATAAACTATCATTATCCGAAAAAGTGTTGGCAGATACTGCCAAGGAAAGAAGGCTAACGCTCTCAACATTTTGTATCACCAGCGGATACGCTGTCAGTGCTGGACACTCAAAGCTGCCAGTCTTTATATCCCAGAACTGTCTCCACTGGGAATAGGCTACTTGCACAAATGATTGTGAAACACCAATATTTCTCTTCTGGCACGAACTGCTGACTGGATTCCTTGGAGGATGTAAGCAGGATCTCATGGGGGCTGAGCCAGCTTTAAGGTGACGTGTTCAACAACAGAAAGCAGGAATGAAATCTAAACCGTGTAGTGGTCAGGGTGTGACTGTGTCTGAGTTAGGCCAGTTACATGTTGCATTAAATGACTGTGATTGTGGTTTGTGATCAGAGCGCATGAATGGCGGCTGAAGTCACTGTTATAAGACGGGTTTCATTACCAGGCTCGTGGGTGGGTAAAAAGAAACGGTTGGTCTTGTACTGGCCCAAATCCACCACAGATATTGTTCTTACCCAGTGAGAGTGAAACCAATATTTCCAAACTGTGAGAGAATGGATGCACCTTTGTGCAATCTCTCACTGTGCTAAATCATATCATATTATTTCATAAGAGAAAACTATGTGTTCCGTGTTTCAAAGAATAAACACTCCCTGCTTGAAGCTTCTGACTCCCTAGGGTGCATTTTCCACAGATTAACTATCCGCTAACTGAAACAGTGTTTGTGTAAATTTATTCTGAATGTCGCCACTTCAGCTTAGTGAAGACAGAAATCATGTCTCCGCGAAATCATCTTTTTTTGCGTTTGTACATGGCCAATATATACTTAGCCAATCCTCATAGTCCAGGCCCTTCAGTCAGTCAATTATTTTGGTTGATAACCTCTATATCTAATAGCCGGGGTCATCAGCACACTTTCCCCTGTGGGTAGACATGCTGTCCATCCTTTGCCTCCTATACTGTGCCCAGCAATGTCAATGCCAAAACGTCTTGGGTTTGGCAAGAGGGACAGTGGATGGATTCTTTGCCAGCTGTTTCCGTCGTTGACCTGCTTTGAAGTTTTTACTATGTCATCTTCAGCCGGGCCCAATCACTCACTCTATTTTGGCTGGCCTGGACTTCAAGAGATTTTCTCTGTCTTCAGACAGATGGCCACCGAACCGCAGGTAACGACAATGAGCCATTGACTACACAGGCCCACATCCCTGGGATCATTCTGGTACATCTCCTCAGCATCCATGCCAACAGCTAAGTATCTTTCATTGTATGAGAACGTGCACATATGAAAACAATGCTGCAGGTGCAATCTATCGAATGATATGCACATACGTGCCATTGCAGGTTGACTTTCTTTACCTTTTGGTTCTACCTATAAAATCCAGTACACTGTCAACTTTTATATCGACATTTCGACACCCATTGATGGGAAGTATATACAAGTTCACATTCTCAATTGCTTGTGTACAGCCAGCCTCCAAATCCAATTCCTACTCTGCACCAAGCAAAGCACTGTCGCTTGTCGTCCAACATTGAATATTTGATATTTCGAGCTCAAAATCAGCAGTGGTCCCAATAAACAACATTGGTGGACAGCACTGCAGACTTCCGTCTTTTCAGGAAATCAAACGTTCACCACCACCTTCTGCTTTCAATATCCCAGACAATTCTGTTTCCATGCTGACACCTTCCTTTAAAACCGTGGCCTTCTATTTTGCTTACCAGTGTCTTATGTGGTACTTTCTAATACGTCTTTTGTAAATGAATAACAACACCAATTGCAGAAACTTCATCCACCCTTTCCGTTACCTTATCGAATTTTTTGGACCGTGTTGGCTGTTCTTTATTAAACCATATTTTTCCAAGTGACAATGTATTTTGTCCCTGTAAGATTCTAGTCTCTTCAAGTTGCCACACTATGAAGTGATTTTGACTGGTCTGTTTTTACCGAATTTATCCTTCTGCCACTTTTTGTATTGGGAACTATCATTTGAATAACTTCCTTCCTCTGGTAGCACACTGGTGTACAAAAAGAATTGAGAGGTTTTCCCCAGAGACTCCGTTATTTCCAGCCTTTCTTCCTTTCAGTCAACTTGGATTCATCCCGTCTCCTCCTAGTGACTTATCTACTCTGAGTGCCGATTGATTTTCAGTAACTTGATTTTTCTTGACCTATCCAATTTTTTTCCCTCTTGTCTATTCCTGCGGCATTGGCTGCATCCTCATCTTCTGCGACCACTGCAGAAACATCCGTCTATTCCTTTGAAGGTTGTGTCCCCAATGACAATTTCACTCAAACTCTTCTCTGTGTCCAACTGTGCATCCATTTGTTTCGGCTCCTCTCCCCTGTGTTGTCATCACCCTGACCGATTTTCAGTACGTTGGACAGGTTTCTGTAAGCCACTTCCATGGGAATTCTGGACTGCACGTCCCCTCTTCCTACTGCAATCACAAACTCTCTTTCTGAGCCCTTTGTGGCTGTTGGATGAAAACCACCTGAAACGTTAGGTCCATGAACACATCAACATTAACAACTTACACTTATGCATCGCCCTCCACACATGTTGGCGTCTCAATGCCTGATTTGTAGACGTGGAATTCGGTGCAGTGGTGTCCGTAAGCACGGTTGGAGTTCCAGTTTTTCAGGCATGGCATGAAATGTGGGAGGATGTTCCAGATCTATGGGCGTAGTGACTGAAAATGTGAACTCTGATGCTGGGACGGAAGGTGTTTGGGTCCGTCATGAAGCTTGTACCAGTAGAGCCGAGGAGCCAAGTTGTGGATTGTGGAGTGAGGAGATCGGAGATATAGGAGATGCCAGGGAGTGAATGGATTTGAACACGTTTATGAAGATCCTATAGTCGATCCTTTCGTTTATGGGGAGCAGTGGAGCAAGGCCCGAGCTGATGGGCTGTGGTTTGGGATATTGTCTTTCGGAAATTATCAATCGACAACAGGAAGGAGACATCATGATTGTCATCCTCTCTGTCACAAGTTTCTTCAAAACTTGACTTGCAAGGAGGATTGAGAAATAATGCATTTGGAACAACTCTATTTCGAATTTGATAATGCTGATGTTTATTTAGCGCTGGCCCATAGTTGAGATTAAGTGCATCCAATAATCTTTCAACATAACAAATTGCGTGTTCGTTGGCAGTTTTTCTACATTTTGAAAAAAATTCGTTAGATCTCTTCTGTCATGTTCCACAGCTATC